AAAACTTCAACATTAATACCCCACCTACAGAGTGCCGGCACTGTACTTCCAGGACTCAAGTCCGGCCTCCCAGTTTCTCTGAATCCCTTCATAAATGTTACTTTGCTCACACTCCAACAGCACGTCAAGCCCTAAAACCGATTTGTCTCCAGTCACTCCTATCAAATACCTCACGGATGTTTGCTGGAAGTCCAAGCCTCTCGCAAACAAAACCTCCTTTACCCCTCTCCCTCCAACTTTTCCTAGGCCGACCACTACCCCACCTTCCCTCCATTACAGATTTATAAATTCTCGAAGTAATTCTATTTTGTTCCAACATCTCTACATGTCCGAACCACCTCAGCAACCCTTCCTCAGCCCTCTGCATAATAGTTTTGGTAATCCCGCACCTCCTCCTAATATATAAGAACATAAGAACATAAGAAAGAAGGAACACTGCAACAGGCGTACTGACCCATGCGGAGCAGGTCCATGTCCCCCCCCCCAGATTAGACCATTGACCCACACCCCGGATTACCCCAATGACCCACTCAGTCTGATCATCTCCACTCAAGGATGGAGCACTGCACCAGACCCAGCAGCACAAGCTAGTCAGGTCCAACTCACACCCACCCTCATCCACTCATGTATTTATCTAACCTGTTTTTAAAACTACACAACGTTTTAGCCTGAATAACTGTACTCGGGAGTTTGTTCCACTCATCCACAACTCTATTACCAAACCAGTGCTTTCCTATATCCTTTCTGAATCTGAATTTTTCCAACTTGAAACCATTGCTGCGAGTCCTGTCTTGGCTGGAAATTTTCAGCACGCTATTTACATCCCCTTTATTTATTCCTGTTTTCCATTTATACACCTCGATCATATCCCCCCTAATTCTACGCCTTTCGAGAGAGTGCAGATTCAGGGCCCTCAGTCTATCCTCATAGGGAAGATTTCTGATACATGGGAACAACTTTGTCATCCTCCTCTGTACGTTTTCCAGAGCATTTATATCCATTCTGTAATACGGTGACCAGAACTGAGCAGAATAGTCTAAATGAGGTCTAACCAAGGATATATAGAGTTGAAGAACAACCTGAGGACTTCTATTATTTATACTTATATATATATATACATACATATATATAATATATATATTATATATATATATATATATATATATATATTATATATATATATATTATATATATATATAATTATATATATGTCGTGCCGAATAGGCAGAACTTGCGATCTTGGCTTAAATAGCATCGTTCATCTTGCCATATAGGACAATTGAAAATTTGTGTATGCAATAATTTCACCAAAATCATTCTGAACCTAACGAAAAAAATATATTTCACTGTGTTTGTTTAGTATTAAATTATTGTAAACAAATAAAAAATATATTTAGTTGGGTTAGGCTAAAATAAATTGTTCTTGTTATAATAACGTTAGGTAAGTTTTCTAAGATTCTTTTGGTGCAAAATGAAATTTTTTTACATTAACATTAATGAAAAAAATATATCTTTAAACGTATAAGAGAAATTTTTAGAAAGAACCTAATTTTAAATGAGTTCTTGCTAATTGACCAGTTTTGCATATTCGGCACGACATATATATATATATATTATATATAATATATATATAATATATATATATATATATATATATATATATATATATATATATATATATATATATTATATATACATCATATATATATATATATATATATATATATATATATATATATATATATATATATATTATATATATATATATATATATATATATATTATATATATATTTCGGGGGAGATATAAGCGACTGTTGGAAGAAAGGTGGGCTAGTGCAAAGATGAGTAGTGGGGGGGGGGGTTGAAGAGGGTTGGAATAGTTTTAAAATGCAGTATTAAAATGTGGGGCAGAAGTTTGTGGTTATAGGAGGGTGGGAGCAGGTGGAAAGAGGAGTGATTGGTGGAATGATGAAGTAAAGGGTGTGATAAAAGAGAAAAAGTTAGCTTATGAGAGGTTTTTACAAAGCAGAAGTGTTATAAGAAGAGCAGAGTATATGGAAAGTAAAAGAAAGGTGAAGAGAGTGGTGAGAGAGTGCAAAAGGAGAGCAGATGATAGAGTGGGAGAGGCACTGTCAAGAAATTTTAATAAAAATAAGAAAAATTTTTGGAGTGAGTTAAACAAGTTAAGAAAGTATGGATTTGTCAGTTAAAAACAGAGTAGGAGAGTTAGTAGATGGGGAGAGGGAGGTATTAGGTAGATGACGAGAATATTTTGAGGAACTTTTAAATGTTGAGGAAGAAAGGGAGGCGGTAATTTCATGCACTGGCCAGGGAGGTATACCATCTTTTAGGAGTGAAGAAGAGCAGAATGTAAGTGTGGGGGAGGTACGCGAGGCATTACGTAGAATGAAAGGGGGGTAAAGCAGCTGGAACTGATGGGATCATGACAGAAATGTTAAAAGCAGGGGGGGGGATATAGTGTTGGAGTGGTTGGTACTTTTGTTTAATAAATGTTTGAAAGAGGGGAAGGTACCTAGGGATTTACGGAGAGCATGTATAGTCCCTTTATATAAAGGGAAAGGGGACAAAAGAGATTGTAAAAATTATAGAGGAATAAGTTTATTGAGTATACCAGGAAAAGTGTACGGTAGGGTTATAATTGAAAGAATCAGAGTGGGTAGGGGATGTGTAGATCAAGTGTTTACATTGAAGCATATATGTGAACAGTATTTAGATAAAGGTAGGGAAGTTTTTATTGCATTTATGAATTTAGAAAAGGCATATGATAGAGTGGATAGAGGAGCAATGTGGCAGATGTTGCAAGTATATGGAATAGGTGGTAAGTTATTAAATGCTGTAAAGAGTTTTTATGAGGATAGTGAGGCTCAGGTTAGGGTGTGTAGAAGAGAGGGAGACTACGTCCCGGTAAAAGTAGGTCTTAGACAGGGATGTGTAATGTCACCATGGTTGTTTAATATATTTATAGATGGGGTTGTAAAAGAAGTAAAATGCTAGGGTGTTCGGGAGAGGGGTTGGGATTAAATTATGGGGAATCAAATTCAAAATGGGAATTAACACAGTTACTTTTTGCTGATGATACTGTGCTTATGGGAGATTCTAAAGAAAAATATGCAAAGGTTAGTGGATGAGTTTGGGAATGTGTGTAAAGGTAGAAAGTTGAAAGTGAACATAGAAAAGAGTAAGGTGATGAGGGTATCAAATGATTTAGATAAAGAAAAATTGGATATCAAATTGGGAGGAGGAGTATGGAAGAAGTGAATGTTTTCAGATACTTGGGAGTTGACGTGTCGGCGTATGGATTTATGAAGGATGAGGTTAATCATAGAATTGATGAGGGAAAAAAGGTGAGTGGTGCATTGAGGTATATGTGGAGTCAAAAAACGTTATCTATGGAAGCAAAGAAGAGAATGTATGAAAGTATAGTAGTACCAACACTCTTATATGGGTGTGAAGCTTGGGTGGTAAACGCAGCAGCGAGGAGACGGTTGGAGGCAGTGGAGATGTCCTGTCTAAGGGCAATGTGTGGTGTAAATATTATGCAGAAAATTCGGAGTGTGGAAATTAGGAAAAGGTGTGGAGTTAATAAAAGTATTAGTCAGAGGGCTGAAGAGGGGTTGTTGAGGTGGTTTGGTCATTTAGAGAGAATGTATCAAAGTAGAATGACATGGAAAGCATATAAATCTATAGGGGAAGGAAGGCGAGGTAGGGGTCGTCCTCGAAAGGGTTGGAGAGAGGGGGTAAAGGAGGTTTTGTGGGCAAGGGGCTTGGACTTCCAGCAAGCGTGCATACGCGTGTTAGATAGGAGTGAATGGAGACGAATGGTACTTGGGACCTGACGATCTGTTGGAGTGTGATCAGGGTAATATTTAGTGAAGGGATTCAGGGAAACCGGTTATTTTCATATAGTCGGACTTGAGTCCTGGAAATGGGAAGTACAATGCCTGCACTTTAAAGGAGGGGTTTGGGATATTGGCAGTTTGGAGGGATATGTTGTGTATCTTTATACGTATATGCTTCTAAACTGTTGTATTCTGAGCACCTCTGCAAAAGCAGTGATAATGTGTGAGTGTGGTGAAAGTGTTGAATGATGATGAAAGCATTTTCTTTTTTGGGGATTTTCTTTCTTTTTTGGGTCACCCTGCCTCAGTGGGAGACGGCCGACTTGTTGAAAAAAAAATATATGTATATATATATATATTATATATATATATATATATATATATATATATATATATATATTTTTCGTGCCGAATAGGCAGAACTTGCCATCTTGGCTTAAATAGCAACGCTCATCTTGCCATATAGGACAAGCGAAAATTTGTGTATGCAATAATTTCGCCAAAATCATTCTGAACCTAGCGAAAAAAATATATTTCACTGTGTTTGTATAGTATTAAATTATTGTAAACAAATCTAAAATATATTTAGTTGTGTTAGGCTAAAATAAATTGTTCTTGTTGTAATAAGGTTAGGTAAGTTTTCTAAGATACTTTTGGAGCAAAATTATAAATTTTTACATTAACATTAATGAAAAAAATATATCTTTAAACGTATAAGAGAAAATTTTAGAAAGGACTTAATTTTAAATGAGTTCTTGCTAATTGACCAGTTTTACATATTCGGCACGACATTATTATATATATATATATATATATATATATATATATTATATAATATATATATTATATATTATATATATATATATATATATATATATTATATATATCGATGGAGTATATATGAAGCGTAATCATATCACTGAAATGCAGAATCAACGAAATTTAAGCATAATCAATGTGACATTTAGAGAAACATTATTCTGGTCATCATATAAATAATAGAGAAAAAATATTATCAGAAAAGTGTACAACTAACAAATTTAAAAAGAATTTTTGAGTTTTAACCAAAATATGAAAGTGAAAAAACATACCACACGACATTATTATTATTAAAAAAAGGTAGAGAGCTCTCATGTACCGAGACTGAGCTTCAGATGGTAGGTAGAGAGCTCTCATGTACCGAGACTGAGCTTCAGATGGTAGGTAGAGAGCTCTCATGTACCGAGACTGAGCTTCAGATGGTAGGTATAGAGCTATCATGTACCGAGACTGAGCTTCAGATGGTAGGTAGAGAGCTCTCATGTACCGAGACTGAGCTTCAGATGGTAGGTAGAGAGCTCTCATGTACCGAGACTGAGCTTCAGATGGTAGGTAGAGAGCTCTCATGTACCGAGACTGAGCTTCAGATGGTAGGTAGAGAGCTCTCATGTACCGAGACTGAGCTTCAGATGATAGGTAGAGAGCTCTCATGTACCGAGACTGAGCTTCAGATGGTAGTAGAGAGCTCTCATGTACCGAGACTGAGCTTCAGATGGTAGGTAGAGAGCTCTCATGTACCGAGACTGAGCTTCAGATGGTAGGTATAGAGCTCTCATGTACCGAGACTGAGCTTCAGATGGTAGGTAGAGAGCTCTCATGTACCGAGACTGAGCTTCAGATGGTAGGTAGAGAGCTCTCATGTACCGAGACTGAGCTTCAGATGGTAGGTAGAGAGCTCTCATGTACCGAGACTGAGCTTCAGATGGTAGGTAGAGAGCTCTCATGTACCGAGACTGAGCTTCAGATGGTAGGTAGAGAGCTCTCATGTACCGAGACTGAGCTTCAGATGGTAGGTTAGAGAGCTCTCATGTACCGAGACTGAGCTTCAGATGGTAGGTAGAGAGCTCTCATGTACCGAGACTGAGCTTCAGATGGTAGGTAGAGAGCTCTCATGTACCGAGACAGAGCTTCAGATGGTAGGTAGAGAGCTCTCATGTACCGAGACTGAGCTTCAGATGGTAGGTAGAGAGCTCTCATGTACCGAGACAGAGCTTCAGATGGTAGGTAGAGAGCTCTCATGTACCGAGACTGAGCTTCAGATGGTAGGTAGAGAGCTCTCATGTACCGAGACAGAGCTTCAGATGGTAGGTAGAGAGCTCTCATGTACCGAGACTGAGCTTCAGATGGTAGGTAGAGAGCTCTCATGTACCGAGACTGAGCTTCAGATGGTAGGTAGAGAGCTCTGATGTACCGAGACTGAGCTTCAGATGGTAGGTAGAGAGCTCTCATGTACCGAGACTGAGCTTCAGATGGTAGGTAGAGAGCTCTCATGTACCGAGACTGAGCTTCAGATGGTAGGTAGAGAGCTCTGATGTACCGAGACTGAGCTTCAGATGGTAGGTAAGAGCTCTCATGTACCGAGACTGAGCTTCAGATGGTAGGTAGAGAGCTCTCATGTACCGAGACTGAGCTTCAGATGGTAGGTAGAGAGCTCTGATGTACCGAGACTGAGCTTCAGATGGTAGGTAGAGAGCTCTCATGTACCGAGACTGAGCTTCAGATGGTAGGTAGAGAGCTCTCATGTACCGAGACTGAGCTTCAGATGGTAGGTATAGAGCTTCATGTACCGAGACTGAGCTTCAGATGGTAGGTAGAGAGCTCTCATGTACCGAGACTGAGCTTCAGATGGTAGGTAGAGAGCTCTCATGTACCGAGACTGAGCTTCAGATGATAGGTAGAGAGCTCTCATGTACCGTGACTGAGCTTCAGATGGTTAGGTAAGAGCTATCATGTACCGAGACTGAGCTTCAGATGGTAGGTAGAGAGCTCTCATGTACCGAGACTGAGCTTCAGATGGTAGGTATAGAGCTCTCAGTACCGAGACTGAGCTTCAGATGGTAGGTAGAGAGCTCTCATGTACCGGACTGAGCTTCAGATTGTAGGTAGAGAGCTCTCATGTACCGAGACTGAGCTTCAGATGGTAGGTAGAGAGCTCTCATGTACCGAGACTGAGCTTCAGATGGTAGGTAAGAGCTATCATGTACCGAGACTGAGCTTCAGATGGTAGGTAGAGAGCTCTCATGTACGAGACTGAGCTTCAGATGGTAGGTAGAGAGCTCTCAAGTACCGAGACTGAGCTTCAGATGGTAGTAGAGAGCTCTCATGTACCGAGACTGAGCTTCAGATGGTAGGTAGAGAGCTCTCATGTACCGAGACTGAGCTTCAGATGGTAGGTAGAGAGCTCTCATGTACTGAGACTGAGCTTCAGATGGTAGGTAGAGAGCTCTCATGTACCGAGACTGAGCTTCAGATGGTAGGTAGAGAGCTCTCATGTGCCGAGACTGAGCTTCAGATGATAGGTAGAGAGCTCTCATGTACCGAGACTGAGCTTCAGATGGTAGGTAAGAGCTCTCATGTACCGAGACTGAGCTTCAGATGGTAGGTAGAGAGCTCTCATGTACCGGAGACTGAGCTTCAGATGGTAGGTAGAGAGCTCTCATGTACCGAGACTGAGCTTCAGATGGTAGGTAGAGAGCTCTCATGTACCGAGACTGAGCTTCAGATGGTAGGTAAGAGCTATCATGTACCGAGACTGAGCTTCAGATGGTAGGTAGAGAGCTCTCATGTACCGAGACTGAGCTTCAGATGGTAGGTAGAGAGCTCTCAGTACCGAGACTGAGCTTCAGATGGTAGGTAGAGAGCTCTCATGTACGAGACTGAGCTTCAGATGGTAGGTAGAGAGCTCTCATGTACCGAGACTGAGCTTCAGATGGTAGGTAGAGAGCTCTCATGTACTGAGACTGAGCTTCAGGTGGTAGGTAGAGAGCTCTCATGTACCGAGACTGAGCTTCAGATGGTAGGTAGAGAGCTCTCATGTACCGAGACTGAGCATTCAGATGAGTAGGTAGAGAGCTCTCATGTACCGAGACTGAGCTTCAGATGGTAGGTAGAGAGCTCTCATGTACCGAGACTGAGCTTCAGATGATAGGTAGAGAGCTCTCATGTACCGAGACTGAGCTTCAGATGGTAGGTATAGAGCTCTCATGTACCGAGACTGAGCTTCAGATGATAGGAAGTGAGCTCTCATGTACCGAGACTGAGCTTCAGATGGTAGGTAGAGAGCTCTCATGTACGAGACTGAGCTTCAGATGATAGGTAGAGAGCTCTCATGTCCGAGACTGAGCTTCAATGGTAGGTAGAGAGCTCTCATGTACCGAGACTGAGCTTCAGTGTGTAGGTAGAGAGCTCTCATGTACCGAGACTGAGCTTCAGATGGTAGGTAGAGAGCTCTCATGTACCGAGACTGAGCATCAGATGATAGGTAGAGAGCTCTCATGTACCGAGACTGAGCTTCAGATGATAGGTAGAGAGCTCTCATGTACCGAGACTGAGCTTCAGATGGTAGGTAGAGAGCTCTCATGTACCGAGACTGAGCTTCAGATGGTAGGTATAGAGCTCTCATGTACCGAGACTGAGCTTCAGATGATAGGAAGTGAGCTCTCATGTACCGAGACTGAGCTTCAGATGGTAGGCAGAGAGCTCTCATGTACCGAGACTGAGCTTCAGATGGTAGGTAGAGAGCTCTCATGTGCCGAGACTGAGCTTCAGATGGTAGGTAGAGAGCTCTCATGTACCGAGACTGAGCTTCAGATGGTAGGTAGAGAGCTCTCATGTACCGAGACTGAGCTTCAGGTGATAGGTAGAGAGCTCTCATGTACCGAGACTGAGCTTCAGATGGTAGGTAGAGAGCTCTCATGTACCGAGACTGAGCTTCAGATGGTAGGTAGAGAGCTCTCATGTACCGAGACTGAGCTTCAGATGGTAGGTTAAGAGCTCTCATGTACCGAGACTGAGCTTCAGATGGTAGGTAGAGAGCTCTCATGTACCGAGACTGAGCTTCAGATGGTAGGTAGAGAGCTCTCATGTACCGAGACTGAGCTTCAGATGGTAGGTATAGAGCTCTCATGTACCGAGACTGAGCTTCAGATGGTAGGTAGAGAGCTCTCATGTACCGAGACTGAGCTTCAGATGGTAGGTAGAGAGCTCTCATGTACCGAGACTGAGCTTCAGATGGTAGGTAGAGAGCTCTCATGTACCGAGACTCACCTTGAATGAGGTCTCGTTCCTAGAGTACTACAAGTTTGAATCAGTTGTTTAAGTCAACGATGCTTCGTAGATCGCCATTCTGTTTTAAGGCAGATATTAGGAACTTCACTTTGTGGTGAAAACTTACGTAATCCGCACATAGCCGGTAAAACTAGTTACGACGGTTTACAAAATTACGTTGTATTCAAAGTACGCAAAGTAGGTGTTGGTAATTAGGGAAGGGAGGGTCTGCACTGTGATTGACTCGAATTAATTGTACGTCAGTTAGGCTCACGAAGACCCCAGCCATCTCAAGTGTATTCACATATGATCCTCCCCCTCCAACCGGCTGTCTAAAATAAAGTGGAACGGTTATTCACTACTGTTATGTCCTTGATGACACCTGGAGCTTGATACATTATACATACATGCCTTGATTACCCAGTACACTGGTATAAACCTTGGTAATAGATACCAGTATATTGGTTTAGAAAGACAAGTGAGCAAACACTAGGATATATTTATTAGAAAACGTGAGGTATTGGAATCATGATCACTTCTAACACACAAAGGTTAAAAGACAGTATATATAGACAGAGTGAGGTGTGAGTGACGCATGGTGGCCTCATTGAGGTGTGAGTGACGCATGGTGGCCTCAGTGAGTTGTGAGTGACGCATGGTGACCTGAGTGAGGTGTGACGCATGGTAACCTGAGTGAGGTGTGAGTGACGCATGGTGACCTGAGTGAGGTGTGAGTGATGCATGGTGACCTGAGTGAGGTGTGAGTGATGCATGGTGACCCGAGTTAGGTGTGAGTAATGCATGGTGACTTGAAGAATGCCATATGCCTGGGGTGAAGACCCGTCCTCATCTACTTTACTATGAATTCGATTTAACTGAAGGATCCACTTTCACTTCATTGAGTCTCTAGTAACCTAACCTTTAATTAGGGCGTGATCGAAGTGTAACTGCGTGACTCTCGCAAGAGCGCCCTTACATGGCTTCCAGTACTTCAAGACTGCAATGCAGGCTGTCACTAGCCTCGCTTCCACTGTGCATGGGACAGTTACCATGGTTGTCACAGATGGAAAAGAATGGGCACTTGCAGAGTGTTCTAAGCCTGTGAGAATGTCGGCGCATTAAGCATTCATTAATTGGAGATCCTAGCTTGATGCGATAGAACTATAAGATAGCAAGTCATTAATAACTCGTATATCGAGAAATGTAATATTAACTTTTGGTCTCTCGGGAGAGAGAGGAAAAGAAGAGAAAATAGTTAAATTAACCCTCTCCCCTTTTTCCCCTAGTGGGGGTATGACGGTCACTCACTCACCCCTCCCCCTCCTAGAATGGTGGAATCGCTG